ATAACAGCAATGCTTCTTCATCAGAATCAGATGTACGAGGCCAAAAAATTTATTTTCCATCTATCATCCAAAACCTCTGTCATTTCATCTCAAGTCCAAAAGAAACTCAATGCAATTAAGGCCTTCACTAAGCTGCCTGTGGCATTCATCACTCTGACAAAATTAGAGTGTGAAAGTTTCCAGAGTAGTTTTAGCATCCAAAAAAAAAAAAAAAAAAAACACTACGGACATTGTGGTGCCTATTTTCATCCTGGTCCAGCAGTCTGTGACCCTGGATGAATTATGGGCGACTGAAATGGCAGCAGAGACGGCATATTAACTCTAGGGTCTGGTTCACGCTCGGTCATCAAATAATTGAAGCAAAACTTTCCATGCCAGCTGAGTAATTAAGCTAAAACGTTATGTTGTCCACATTAGCCCTATAGCACTCCAGGTAAGACATTATAACACTACTTGTTCAACAACTACTGTTCGCATCCCATACAGCAACCGATTGCCCTCAACTGAGGCAATCTCGTTACGTAGGTGCAAAGAACAATTGGTGCTATTCTTGCCCACAATCTCAGGTTTTTTGCTCATAGAAACCTGTATGCACTGATCCCTGCTGCCATGCTGTTCACTGCTGGGTAGGTGCACACACCTCCAAACTACACCCACAGTGCTGATGGTTGCCAGGAGACTGAAAGACAAAGTGAGTTTCTGTCAAAGATCTTAGTATTTTATTTCATGATCAGGTGTTTTGGAAAGGAACAAAATGTGATTTATAATCAGTTTATAATGTAACTTAGTAAGTTGTGTGAACTTGCACGCTGCAGAGCATCTCATCTTGGGGCTCACGATGACAAGGAATACACAGATTTTTGATATTGGATCAGTGATTACTTGCTTAAGTATGCATACAGAATTATCCTGAAGATTAACATTTTTCACAGGATGTCACACTAAGTGGTGCACAGCCCTTGGTACAAAGACAACCTTCACACATAACCTTTGATGCAGCTTAATGTGATAAAAATAATAATACCGGTGTAATCCTGCACCACAGCAAGACGGAAACTGTTGTTTGAGGCTCAGAAAACTTTATTTCTATTGGTAAGCTCTACTGTGTGCAACAAACACAGTAGATGTACTGAAAATGTCTTTTAAGATCTGATGATAATACATAACAGGTTACAAGAAATGATCAACAAACAACAGATTTATCAGTTGACCAACCTCATTGTACTATCCGACTTGAGAAGTTGTTGCGGCTGACAGCTCAAGTTAAAATCTATCAAACTGTATGTATCTTTATAGATTACTTACCCTGTGCGGCTCACTTTGCAAATCAACGTGAAGTCACAGGAGAGAGCTGCTAGGCCTAGAGGTGCTAAATTAAGTCAGCATATTACAGTGACCATGTAACTTTTCTGAGTCTAAAGGCTGATGAGGCGTGTTTCCTGTGACAAGGATAGAATGAGTTTGAAAGTAAAGTAAGGTGCACAATGGAGCTGCCAAGCAGATGGCTCCGAGCCTGATGGGAAAACAAGACAAAGACAAAAGAAGTGGTTACACAAACTGCCGGCTCAGATGATGGAAAACGGACACAAGGACTTAAAACGTCTAACTCTATGCACATCTATCAGACTTAAATTAATGATACACTTTAGAATTTAGATCAAATGGTGAGTTAGACAACTACTTAAAGCACACAATAATCTAACACCTTTACTTTCAGTGTCTTATATCAGATCAAAAATAAAAGCATAATGATTATATCTCCTGGGCTGTAGCTCCTGGTGGGGTGTCTCAAGATAATCCTGTCTGAGGAGACGGGTCAGACTAAGAGGGATTTAAAGCTCTTCCAGCAAGACTACAGGAAAAAGGACAACTAATTCAGAACAGGAAAATCATATCAGGACTTAATAATCAAGGTCTTGACTCCTATAAAAACTATGGGATCCCACCTCCAGAGGTACTAGGTACAATATAACCTGATTGGCAAGATGAAGCCAAGTCTGAACATAATGATTTCTGGCAATGTGCACCAGATGTGTCCTGCTAACAGGAGACTTCAGGGAAGATCCACAAACTCAACAGTTGGACCATCTACACTGCCATTAGGAAATAAAAACTTACATTTCCAGAACAGCTGCTAATCTTTCCAGGAGTGGATGGACCAGCAAATTGAACCCAATGTCAAAACATGCAAAACTTAGAGAATTTTTAAAAATCTCAAAAGCTCTCAGTTGCTGCAGGCTTCAGTCAACAAGTTAAATGTTAAAGTGGATGATAAGTTCATTAGAAAAGGACTGAAGAGTTTTCAGTAGTTGAAGGATGGAGCTTCTTGTCTGTCTAAACTATATAACTGTATATAGCACATAGGTTTACAAAGTAGAACCTTATGATTTTCAGAACAACAATCTTTGGAGATCTGAGGTAAAAGTAAGCCACATAATGGACGGTATCATGTTTGGAGAAAGCCAAACACATCTCCCACCTAGGCTTGTTTTGCAGCTGCAGACCTGCTCCCCTTGATGCCATTAAGTCAACCATGAACTCCTCTGCATATCAAAGTATTCTTGAGTCAAATGTGAGCCCAAGCCTGAGAAAGTCACTCAGAAAAGAAAATTGTGAGAATTGCTTCTATAACATGCTGGGCTACAGTTGCACTTTGTTTTCACACATCTTCTGCACAAACTCTTCCAGGTGTGTCAAAACATAATCAGCTGTTTCTGAAAGCACGTAGCAATACGTACTTACTTACTTACTAATTATTTTCTTGACTAACTGAAGAATTTTCACTAAAAGAAGACAGGCTGTAGGGCTCCATAAACCCCTCTTTTACAACTCTGGTTATTAATTCATCAGTGGATTCTTTCAAATAACATATGTGCCAAAATTCCCTAAACGTTTTGAAACGCAAAAGACTGAAGTTAGTTTGTGACAGATGTGACAAGAAACCATCCGTCATCCATGCATGATATTTTGGCACACAAAGATAAACGTTTGGACTTCTACAGATCCCAAACTCCCAATGTTTACAGCAGTAATAGAGTTTGTTGTCACTGGCTCTACTTCAGGGAGTCAGAGCGTATTATTGCATTTTCTTTACACTTTTCTTATTTAAATCCACAATCCCAGCTTGGGACCCAAACTATTCAGCACATAAAAATTTCCCTTTACAAATGTTCAGTCTTCTTTTTTTTTTTTTTTTTTTGTACAACACAGGAAGGAGATTTTATTCCTTTATTATGAGCAAACAGCATCACCTTCAGAAACTAAGCAGCATCAAATGTAAACAAATCAAAGACGTCAAAGTGTTGCCCAAATGTTTAGCACAATAACTGAATAGAAAAAGTGATGTGAAGATGGGATAATTGAACTAAACAAAGACAGTTTGGGGTTTCTTCAAACACAATTAAAGTGAAGAATTGCTTTAAATAAAAAAAAAATAAAAATAAAAAATCTAGTACCTGACTGTCAAGAGACAAATATCTCATCCCAGTGTGCGTGAAGCTATTGGCTGTGAGTTAACAGCATTTGTAAAGTATGATATTTTTAATCTCAAAAGGCACTCAAAGACTCTGCTGCTTAAGTCTGGATTTTGATTTTCTCCTCACAAATATGTTAGAGAAATAAAAGCGTAAACCGTGTTTACAACTACAGTTGGGAGAAACAAAATCCTGTGAACCTAAGAATATAAAATTGACAAACATTGAAAATGAAGTCCCACTCTGATGGCCTACAGAGGTATCAAAACAAACTGAGATCAAAGGTTAAATCTTGTATCAAAAGAAATACAAATTATTAAAAGATCAATCAAAATTGCTGCCAGAGAAACATCATTTGCACTGCTTTTTAGCCTTGCCAAGAAATGAGGGCTTTTTCATTGAATTCATTGTTAATTTAGAAAAACTCTTACAAAAAGAGGAAAGCTGGCGTCATTGAAACAGAAGAGCTGAATGGTTGCTTTAAAAAGAAGTGGTGCTTTAACTCGTTCTTTCTTGATCAGCCCTGGTTCACCCCAGGGAAACATGTGTTGCCATCATTGCTTTATATTCCTGCTAGTAAGGTTGAGCCCAAATCAACCAGACTGACATCCTGCAGGATGCACTGGGATTGGACTTCAGATAACTGGGGTAGAGCTACGTTCTCTGATGAAGAATCCATCAGACCATTACGGATGTCTGGAAAGGGAAAGATGAAACCACAATGAGATGTGTCATGAAAACAATAAAGCATCCTATCTAAAACAGCTGTCATGAATAAAGAAAGCTAATAACATCCTCCTTAAGCATTCCTTCCTTTGATTCAGGAGCAACGATGATCAACTAAATATCAAAACAATGAAATTCAGAAGACATGAAATGTTTCTATTTTTATCCTGGTTTTCATTAATTTGGTAAATTGATTAATAAAGTTCTAGAAACTTACTAGATGTGCAACAAACTTTATTATAAAAAAATGACAAGAAATACCAAAAAACAAACAAGAAAATGTGAGCAGGAATCTTTCTCAGCTAAATTTCTGTTAGTCTCGACACTTTTGGCAGTGAAACGCAGACTTGATGAGCAGATCTTGAAGTGCTGATTCAATTTTACTTTGTTTTGCTAAAAGGTCTGAAGATGTAATTTGATAGATTTTATAACAGACCTAGGGTCCATAAACAACAATCAATGAAAATATAATAATAATAATAATAATAATAATAATAATAATAATAATAATAATAATACCCACATGTTTAAAACAAATGTTATAATTTAAACGTAATCTCCTTAAATTGATAATATAATTACATTATTGATCTTTTTGTTATGTTTGATAGCTTTTTATGATTTTACCGTGTCCATACTTCTTATAAAATGTATAATGCGTGTAGTCTATATGCTCAAAGGTGGACGGCGGTTTACCTGGTGAACCTCAGAGAAGCACGTGCACTCTCACGAGAACGAGCACACGCGTCAGAAGAGGTAAGGTGAGAGAGCGCGCGGATCTCGCTGGATGTTTAAAGGCGCGTAAACGTGCTGGGCTCAGACTGAGGCGCTCAGAGAGAGGAAGCTGGAGGAGTCTAAATGATGTTGAAAGTCTCCAGACTGATGGAGCGCACATGTGAGGCTGAATGAAATGGAGATCATGAACAGGAGAGCAGATAGGTGACCGAAAGCAGGAGAAAGAGACGGGTCAGCTGAGCCGCTGTGTTCCAGTTTAGATGGAAGGTGTTTGGCAGACTGACTGGGGAGATGTTTGCCGCCACAGAATCTGTTTTCCTGAGCCTTAGAGATCGAGACTGCCGTTGATCCTCCGTGGGTGTCCAGTGGGATAAACCCAAGACAAAAGTAATGTCTTCTGAAATATCCTGTCCTACCTTTGGAGGCTCGGGCGCGTAAAAAACTGAACCGCAGCTGAGCGCGCAGCCATGCGCACCCTTTCCGGCTGTGCCTAGTCTGACCTTCGTGCGTTATGCTGAATGGACCCACTTTCCGCCGCTACGACCCGATGCGACTGGTCGATCCAAGGCACCTCCCGCAACTGATGTCCCTGGAGGACCATGAGCCCACCATGGCGGGAGGGACCCTGGAGCCGCGCAATTCCACGGCAGCGGCGGGCGAGGAGGGTGCCCCGGGTCAGCAGCAGCACTCCTTCCCGTGGGTGGCCACCGTGCTGGCCGGCGTCCTCATCACGACCATCGTGGTGGATGTTATCGGGAACCTGCTGGTGATCGTGTCGGTGTTCAGGAACAGAAAACTCAGGAAAGCAGGTACAGACATGGACACAGGCAGCTGTTGAACAGAATGATGAGAGGTGTGAAAAATCCTCAATTTGATCACTTTTTCAGCCAATTTGATGCACTTGTGATTCGTATAACATTAGGAATCCCTGTAAAAAAATATTTGAAATCCAATAATTAAACTTTTTTTTTTCCTTGCAGGACTAATTTCAAAAAGTTTTATTTTCCCAAAAAAAAAAAAAAAAAAAAAAAAAACTTTGCGATAAAATGAAAAAATGTTAAAGTTAAAGTAGATTTACACCAACATGGTATACCTAATTAATGACATTATTTAGATAAAGTTCCAGGAGTTTTGGATCAAAAGGAAGTTGCTGCTCATTCTCTAACCAGGCAACATGACTGATGAGCCTAGAGATGATCTTTCCTCTCTTTGCCCTTTTCGTTGTCTGCAGCTGATCTGACTCACCTCGTTGATTTCTGAAGGTCTAAACTTCTGAAGCAGAAGTTTCTCCTGCAAATGAGTTTGTAAACCTGATAGTTACCCCATTCTGATTAAAAGTCCCACCGCTGTGCACAGTAAAGCGAAAATAATTACAACTAATTAAACAATAATTCAGAAGGATTCCTCTATTAACTCTCATTAATCACCAAACCCGAGAATGATCTGAAGCAGAAAATATCACATTTAAAGCACTTACCAAGGATGCTCACCCTATTAATGTTCACTTGACAGGTTCAGAATAATGATAAGCAACATTTATTTGGCAGCATGCAAATAGTGAGGGAGGCTTGACTCCCATAAACAGGAACATAAATCCAATTCATGCCTTTTTGTAATCAATAAGAAATAAAGTGCAATAATGGTCATGCTAATTCCAAAGGCAACAGAGGAGAAACGGAGGAGGAGAAGGGCTACATCTCCTCCTGGAAGCTCAACTCAAGAGGCACTTAGTGAGACACTTAACTCAATCAGTGTTAATGGAGATCAACAGGAGGTTGAACATGCAGCGATGGTCGTGTGCCAGCCGAGAGCCGCAGTTCAATTCACACCTCTGCTGCACAAACAGAAAAGTGACCATGAAAGTCTGAACGAAACAATATTTTAGGAGAAGCTCAACTTTAAGAGAGAGATTTTTTAAAATATGATTTGGTTGCATGTAAACATTAAATACTTATTACCTGAGTTTTGGCCCAGATCAGGCTTGGTACGGTTTTGTTGTTTTAGAGCAGCTTTAAAGTAGCTGAGCCCAGTTTTTGGGACCAATACCAATTTTCTTTTCTATCATAGAGATCATACTCATGAATGAAACAGAAAATATTTCATATTTATGCATCAAAATTATGTCCACAAACTTTATCAGATTTTTATTTTTGAAGCACCTTTACTTTAAAAGTGGAGCTTTATTGTTTTCTGTGCATTTACGTCAGTGTATGAGCAGCCGGAACTGAACAGAGCTGATGAGGAAAAAGTTATGATCTCTGGCCGATTGATCAGTGAGTCTCCGTTCAAAAGGTTTGCGTTGCTCAGCAGTTGTGTGATCACACTCTTTAGAGAGCAAAAGCAGAGAAGATGGCAGATGCGAAATATCCACCTGACAACTGGAAAGGTCAGCTCTCCTCCATGAACCGGCTTAAACGCTCCATGAAGAAAAGTGTCTGACAGGAAATTTCACACATATGAGAAGCTGATGAGTTCGTCTGAAATTTCTCTGCAGATGTAGAAAAAAAATAGATACATTTTGCTCTGTCTTGATCCAAATGCATCGTGTGAACGTGCATTTTTGATCATTACACAAACAGCCCTGAATTATTATTAAAAACTACAAAAGACAGATTTAATAGTTTGACTATTCGATGAATGTTTTCAGCCACATCAGCAGGTGTTTCCACTTGCACCTCCACAACGTTTTATCAGCCAACAAATTCAAACTATTTTCAATAAATGTGTTTTATTTTAGTGCTAAAATAAATAAATCAGCTAATATAGAGATAACCGTCCAGCAAAGGGTAGGGCTGAAATCTTGGAGTTTTTCATGTCTTCATCTCTATTTTTCTAATACTGCTAAACTGTCTCCAAGGCAGTAGATAAAGATAAAAGCCCAGATGTGTCACTTTTCTAATGGTTGTGCTGCTCTGGTTGTATGGATTCTGTCTCTGTATGCCTTGATTCCCAGGGCAGGAATGTAGCAACCAAAACTAGAAAACCTCATGGACTGCTTCCTTCTTTTTTATATTCATCCTGTGTCTTTGCTTTCTGTTCTCTCCTCTCATTTGTCCTCCACAATTTCCCCTCATTCATCTCCTCAGCTCATCCTTCAATTAAGCTCATTCTTTTCCGTTCTGTCTTTTCTTGCGCTTCCAATTTAATTTATCCCTTTAAGACTCTCCTGTTCAGCCGTCCTCTCAGGTGTCCTATTTTCCTTGTTCAATGACTCTTCATTGTCTTGTTTCTTCTCTCCCAGATGCATCGATTGAATTACTCTCATCTCTTCCTTACCATTCATCTGACACATATTATCAGGTCATCACGAAACTATTGCTATTGTTCCCATCATGTAAATGCCACCTGATCTGTGAAAAACTGTCAGAGCACCTTTAGGCATGATGTGCAATCTCTCCTTCTACTGGCATCTTCTGCAGGAGAACTTGACCTGTAATGGTTTACATTCAACGGGTCAGAACACTCAGCTCAACTCGCAGTTAAATCAGAGAAGACGGAGGGAGGAGAGCTTTGTGTTTGGCATGGATGGGTTTTGGCTCGCTGCCACATCCCGCCAAATTAAACTCGTTTGCTGTGCCTGAAACCACGAGCCACTGCGTTCCGGCTGGAAATCAATCTGAATGAGTCCGACTGTTTCATTGATCCTCTGGCCAGTAGATCAGCGGCGCTCAACCTTTTCAGAGGCAGAGGACAATCCCGCCTGGATGGAGTAATCCATAAAAGACTGGGCCGGTTGATGAACTCAAAATATCACCCAATAGTATCTATGAGCATGCGTTTCTAATACGCCTCTTCTGTTACTGCTGCTGCTGCTGACCTCACAGGAAGACAAGTAAAGGGATTTTTATCAATTGAAATGTATTACTAGACTGAACCTTGAGAGAAAAAATAAAAGTCTGTGACTCCTCCTGTGGCTGTTTCCAATTTGACATTAAAAAAACCAAAACTCACTATTTGTAATCATGGGTAGACTGCATCTATACAATTCTATTTCAAATGTTAAATACTTAGAGTAAACTGTTTTATTCTCCTGAAAACTGATTTTATGACACAAAAGACCAAATATCCATCAGATCCTCTTTGCATGGACATCTGTTAGCCTTTTGCTTTTTAACCACGTTTTCATTTTCTTTAGAAAAATTCACAAGGAATCATCTTGGGGGGAAAAAAGAAACTAATTTAAATGGAAAATCTTTACTGGATTATCTTCCTCCTATTGTATTCTGACATTAGTTGCAATCTTTATGTCTTGGCTTAATTAACTACCTTTTTCAGGTGGACAGCAATAAAGTGCCAATAATACCATCTGCTTGGTACTATTGGCTTAAACATATTTATTGTTTTTAACTTCTAACTTATAAGGGGAGCTAGAAGGAAGTGGGAAAATACAGAATGGCAAGAATATGATGAATAGTAAGGCTTTCTGATGAATAGTGTCAAAGTTTCACAATCTTGTCCAAAAGGTTTTCAGACATTCCACCTTTGGTTTTTATTGACGATTCACATCATCATTAGATTACTAGTACAGACTTTGCTCGATGTAAGTATATTTGCATGAGCACTGACATGAATACCTTTGGAAAACGAACATATGACAGGTGAAAACAGCATAAAGGGTAGACAAATTCTGCTGGATTTTCATTTTTTCTTACAAATCTGCTTTCAGATTTGTGTAAAAAAAAAAAAATTGTGGAAAAGCACAGGTGGGCGCTTCAATGAGTCCTTTGTCATGCCAACGGAGGAGCATCCTGACTCAGTCTGTGTGTGGGGTTGCTTTTCATCCAAGAGAGTGGCTTCCTCTCAATTCTAACCAAGAAACCTGCTATGGATGAAGAATGGGATCAGGACATCCAGTAGTCTGCTGGAGGCGCCGGTGGTCTGTGCATCCCATCTCAGTTTCAGCTTTCCTCACGTTGAGACTGAATGAAACCATCTGTCTGTAGAGTGTAAATGTAAATGAATTTGCTCCGACCCAGATCATTATTGAAACCAATTTGCTGAACAATTTTTAACTTCTTTCTAAACCAATTCCTGATGCACATTTTCTTGCCGTTATCAACAGTCACAGAACAATGGTTCAGGATTGTACTTTTTAAGCTACTTCCTGACATCAGACTCATTCTTCATCTTATTTCTGTCATTTCTATGGTTGTTCACTAATGGAGATTTATCTTGATTTAACCACTATACCTCATGTGGCTCCCAATGTTACGTAGAGTAAAACTCAGCAGAAGGTTGTTTTCTTGTTGCAGAGCTGAATCAGAAAACAGAGGGGCAGTGAGTTTGACATAGAAATACCACCAACTGAGGGGATTTGTTTGAAAAATAAGCTCACGATTCTTCCTTGACCTTCATTTTCTTCTTTACATCCTTGGAGCTCCCTCTGAACATCTCCACAATGCCCTGTAGCTCTCTGCCTGGGAAGATTATTATGTAAATCAGTCAGCTCTCTGCAGAAGGTGGCCCCGAGTTGTTTGGAGGTATTTGTGATGACCAGATTTAAGCATACACGAGCAAACATACCGACCGGCGATGTGATTAGATTTAGAGGCTTTAAAGAAGGGAATCCATCCATCACAGCATCCTCTTAAATATTTTTATTTTTTTTATTTTTAAGTGAACAACAGCAGATGGATGAGAAGGTTTTATGACAAAAGAAGAAAAAAATCAGGACTGGTACAGCAAAAACACTACCTAAAACTGCAGAACCCTTAATAAATGAGTAATAAAAAATAAAACCTGATGTGTGAAGAATAGGATTTGCTTTGCCGCAGCTGATTGAAGCCTGCATCTCTTCTATTAAAGTGTT